CCTGGAGAACCTGGAGAACCTGGAGGACCTGGAGAACCTGGAGGACCTGGAGGACCTGGAGGACCTGGAGAACCTGGTGGACCTGGAGGACCTGGAGGACCTGGAGGACCTGGAGAACCTGGAGGACCTGGAGAACCTGGTGGACCTGGAGAACCTGGAGGACCTTGTGTATCTATGATGAGATCATCACAAAGTCCTGATCTCAGTCTGAGAAAATATTTTGGGAAAAGTCAGTTTGGATGGTTTTATTCCGTTAAGAGCTGAAATCATTTGAAAAGTATTTTTTGTGTTTAGTCAAACAGAACCAGAACCTCTGTCTGACTGGCCCGGGTCCAGCGGACCGCTCCGGCTGTCTGGCTCTCTGTTGAGTCAAAGTGTTGGTGTTGGATCAGGACGGCCGGTTCTGTCAGCTGAGTCCGTTTTACCGGCTGAACAGAGACGTTGGTTCTGATGTCAGTCCGTCCTGCTGGGCTTCCTTACAGAGCCGAGGTAACCGGCTGCTGATGGCCGAGTCTCAGGGGAGCGCTCGGACTGACTGGCTGTGTGTGTGTGTGTGTGTGTGTGTGTGTGTGTGTGTGTGTGCTCTCCAGCAGCCTGTTATCACCCTGGAGGGAAGCGTGGCGTGTACGTTCCCCAGGGAAGGGATCGATACAGTCACGGTGCAGGTGTCTGCTGGGAACGCCATCCTGCAGGACAGGAAAACTATTGCCGTCCACGGTGAGTTGAGACTGTCAACAAGATGCCACAACAATCTGCCTTCCTGTCAGCAGGAGGCGCCACCATCACTTCACACACTCCGACTGCTGCTGTTATTATTCCTGAAGCTGATCTACAGGCTTCAGTTTGGTTGATCACAGTGTAAACAGTCTGTTAATGTCTGATAAAAAGCAGGAATCCAGCGCTGCCCCTCCCTCACTTGTTGCTCCTCACGCCGCTAAGCTAGCTGGCTACTCAGGGCTCCTTTGCTTTTCGCTCACTTACAAGACAGAGAGTTTGGAAATATTTCTGGCTGTAAAAAATAAAGTATGTAATAAAGTAATAAATTAATGACATGGAAACCAAAATCTTAAGATAAAACCGTTAGTAAACTGAAAGGTTTTGCTCTGAATCAGAGATCTCATCTGCTGAGTTTTTTCTTTTTAATTTAAATGATAAATTGAACTTGATAACTGTGACCAATTGAAATCAATTGACTTTTTATTGTAGTTTTATGTTTATTTATTTTTCCTTTATTTTACCAAGGAAATTAGTTGAGAACAAATTCTAATTTTCATCATCAATGTTCCCAGGAAGCATCAGAACAGAGAAGAAAAGAATCAACATATTTGCTCATAATCCAGCTGTTTTTAAAAGCACATTGAACACATAGTATGGATTTTACTGACTTAAAGTCGATTTATGGTTTTTGATTGATGTACAAATAATTGTAATTAATTTATTGTCAGTCCCTCCAATAGTTCTGACAGTTTTCTGTATCATGGTGTCTGTGACATCAAGACCTGAATTTAAAATAAAAACTGATGATTTCCTTTAGAAAAACGTTACTTGATGAGGAGCTGAAGCTGAAAAAGGTCAGTGAAAAATCCTCACCTTATGTTTGCTTCATGCAGAATATTTCCGATCCCACCTGCTGGCCTTCTCCTCGAACCTGGACGAACACAACCCGGACGTGGCTGAGTGGAGGCAGGATGTGAGCCGGGTGATCCGGAACGCTCTGATCCAGGTGAGGCTCGCTCTCCCAGCTGCTGCTGTCTACTGCTCAGCTCCTTACAGGTTTGACTTTTACCCTGATAAATGGTCAGAAGGAGAACTGGGGAGGGGGGAGTAATGCTGGAGCAGGTGAACGCTGTGAGAGTTTGGGACCGGACCCAATAAACATCAGAAGTCCTGGTCCTGACCCGAGGAGACGCTGGCAGATGAGCCAAACACAAACTGTCAGGTGGACGAAATGACTCCAGCTCACATGTCAGAGACAGAGTCGGACTCATTAACCGGTTCTCGACACTTCCTCAGGATTCCGATATGTTTCCGATTCTTCGGAAGCAGCTCTCTGCCTCTTGCATCATCCTTTCACACTTTTTGATCCTGCAAAATCAAAATTGATGCCAGAAATGCATCCATCTCTCCAATCTTCACTGAGCACGCCTGGCTTGTTTTTTCTTTCTGACATGATTATTGTTTATGTTTTTTTTTATTTTTATTCCTGGTGACAACCTCAGCCTTGAAGGCGGAACGGAGCGAGAGGAAAAACTGAGATGAAAATCTGATTTGATGACTCTCAGTTGAGTGATCACTGAGGCTGAAGCTCATAGAGGGAAGTGGAGGAAGAAGCAGCGACTCCTGCAGGAGGCAGTGATCATTTCTTCATCTCTATTGATTTATTTCACACCGATGTAAAAGGAGAGTTATTCATTTTTACATTATTTGACTGAGAACTGAAGTTCACAAGCTGTTTGACTTAAAATCAGTCAGTTATCTTCATCTTTACTGGCAACAACCTGTAAACATCTTAGAAAAAAAAATCCACATTCAGAAATTATTGTTTTAACTGAATAATTACAAACCTCACTTATGATCACCCCTTGTGTGAATCCTTTGAACAACCTTCTTTTTAGCCTCTGTTGATCTTGCTCGGTGTTTTGGATATTTATCCTGCTATAGTTTCATTTTTCCATTGCCAGATGTTTTATTTAAAGTTTCCTGGCGTCTCTAAGGAAGTCTCTAAATTCAGGGCTGCATCCTTCCAAGGCCGGTTATGTCACAGCGATGAGACAAAAGCTGTCCAGGATCGGAGGCTCCACCAATCATAGTTTTCTCCTTTTTTTCCTCATTTGAAGGACGAGTGTGGAGTATCCTTCTCTGCCTGCTCAATCCGAAGATTCATTGCCGTCCAGCATTTTTAGAGCAAATGGACGAAGTGGCAGTTGTGGGAGAAGAAGTACAGTTTTAAATCTGTCTGTTAAAATGTGGCAGTAAGTTAGAACCCAAAGCTGTTCTGTTGTTTGAGATCCATTTTTACCTGCTTGGGTTCCTCGTCTTATTTTGAACTGTTATCTGTTAACATTTTAGATTTGTCCACCAGATGGCGCTATGTACTTTTTTGTTATTCAAAGTCTGTAAAAATGTCACTTCTTTGGTTCCCACAAGTAAAAAGCAGAAACCATAAGTAGGTGACATTGTTGATGTCTGTGTCTAAAACATGTGATTGTTTTCATGTTGTATTTTATCAATTTATATTTTGTCTCATTATATTTTTCGGATGTGTTGATTTTATGAAGACATTTTTGTTGGTAGTATCTCATCTCTACATAATGATTTAAATATGTTTCCAATCACTGATTGATTGCTGATCAAAATGTATTTTATACAAACATAACAATAGTTCAACCTGGTTCCTGAACTGCATCCCTCATTAAAAGCCTTCAGTTCTCATAAACTCTCATTTTCTGCTGCGTCTCCCTCAGGATATTTCTTATTATTTCAGTAAATAACTGAAAACTAAAGCAGTTTTAAATAATTCAGATGTCTAAAAATACAACCAAAACATTTTCAGCAGTTTTTGGAGCGCAGACATTTTGTTTAATAATAGTCGTGATTTCACAGGATGGTTTCTGCCGGAGGTCGGCTGGATTATCCTCTGATGAAGCCCAGCAGGTTTTAATCTGAGGTTCTGATCTGAGCAGATCCTGACTCTGGTCTCCTTGCAGGCGACAGGCGTACCGGAGGACCTGCTCCTGGTCACCGTCCTGCCAGGTTTACCAACAGCAGCCGAGTTTTTCCTGCTGCCTGACAAGCAGCTCACCGAGGGGAAAGCAGAGAAGAGCTCGGCTCATTTAGATCAGGTGAGGCGGCAGCGTCGCCCTCCAGTGGGCGGACGGATGTCACCTTGTTATCCTCGTTCTAACTTTAACACAACACACGGCTGCAGATCGTCTGTTCCTGCTTTGTGACTCACTGAGGGTCTTTTCATAGCAGCAGCTTGTCCGGTAAAACCTCCTGAAAATTTAAACCTGCAGCTTCAAGTTCCTGTTCCCCACCAGCAGATGTCACTGTTAATCTGCTGGAGAATTTTTTTTTGTAGGAGTCTAATTTTGGAAAATGCTTGAAGAATCGACTAATCAATAAGCCTGACAAGTATTATGAGTGAAAGGACTGACTTTTAAACTTACATGATGTTGGGGAGGCAGAGAGAGAAATGTTCAGCATCAATCGACATGAAGCAGAGCTGCTCAGTCTAACCTAACAGATGATGATCGATGTTAATGCCAGGAAGAATCCATGGATAGGAATCCTCCATTTCTCCCCTTCTTCCTCCCTCCTGCTTGATCTTCTGGAAAGTTCCCCCTCCCTCCAAGCCGGCCATAAATCTTCATTCATGGCTGGCGTCCTTAAAGTGCGGAGTTGGCTCCGCTTGTTAGAATGTAAAACAGATTTCACTGACCCCGCTATGCAAACGGTGAGAAAGTAATTAGTCAAAGCACAGACTAAATTTAAACAGCACAAAGGGGAGCATGAAGGAGTACAGGAATTACTCACATCACAATTAATTTAGCAAATGAGGCAGATAAGATAAATGAAGTCTCTGCAGCAGAGAGAGAGGAAGTGTTTGCTTTAATTATGCAGCTCCTTATTGGCTTCTTTTATGAATATGATTTAAAAACAGCAACACTTCATTTGTAGATTGTGTAGGAGCTCCGATGAAGAGGTCTGTCTGTGTGGATCAGCTGGGATGGTTCTCCAGTTTAGCTCCGGGTCGCGGTAACCTTCCCAGGTTGGATCCCAGTTCATCTGTCTGAAAGCAGAGATCGAGCTGCCTGCGTTGCATTATGCATCATGGAGGAAAAGGTCCTGCAGACAAAGACTCTTACATAAACAGGAGCGTTCACATGTGTGGGCGGGTCAGGGCCGCGCTGATACGGCTCGGTATTTAAGGTGCATTCAGCGTTATGATAATTTCAGAGGCTGCAGGAACGTTCTCAGGTCAGAGCTGATAAACGTGCTGCACGTTTTTATCCACTTCATTTGACCTTCTCAGGAAAAAGTAGGTTTGCGGAGGCTGTTTTCAGTTTGAGGTTGTCTTCATAAACACTGCATGAGTCGGTGCTTCAGCATCAACAGGTGGGTTCTTATGGGACTGTGGATGGAAATGAGCATGTTGCTAAATCCAGAGTATTTACTACAATTTTGTACATTTATTAATGTACCTTTAAAATCAAATAAAATCAATGAATACTTCCAATAATAATCACTTTGTATTATTAGTCCTACACTAATAATTCAAAGTGATTATTAGTGGACTTGAGTGTATTTACTTTTTATTTTTCTAATATTTTTTGACCACTGGGGACATTTAATGATGCTTTCAACTTCTTGACCTTTAAATTATTGATTTGTATTTTAACACCAATGAGCCTCTCAAGTATTTCTCCCTCAGAAATAAAATAAAAAAATTGATTTTCACAGTTTATTTTTAGACCTAAAATAAAAAAAAGATAAAATAACGAGTTTCCAGCAAAAGTAAAGTTGAAGTGAAAACACCATTGTCATTCCCAGGGCTTCTGGAAGTCTCTTGAGGGGTATGAATACTTCTGAGCACCATTTTAAGTAGACAGTGTGAGAAACAAACATTTTGTTCCTGATTTAGCAGAATATCATTAATTTTACACCTTTGATCCTGATGCACCTGCCCTTCTGAGAATTAGCACATCAAAAGTATTTGCTTCAGAAACGGATCTCCTCCTAACTAGTGTTTGAATCCTCTAGACGTGCCAAGATAATAAAAAGTCTCACAGGAGCTTTAGCTCCAATAAACTGATCCTAATGATCGGTTTGCTGAAAACTCTGCATTTCTCCTGCAAACTTTAAACTTACAGAAACTGGAAAGGTCAGTTCTGTAAGTGTCCTGGTACTGGAGCGTTATTGATGCCCTGGGTTTTACTGTGTTTGTAACAAACCCAACTTGTCTTTGTTGCAGAAGAGTCTGGAGATCTGATAGCACTTGCATATGAAGCTTGAAATGGTTAATGTGTAGAAACCCTGAAATCTAGATAAGAAATGCGTGTTGAACTTTTGATTTAGTTTCAAACTCGAATGAAAACAATCAGTCAGACTAGCTGAGCCTTTTCATCCATCCTAGCAGCTTTTTCAACACATTCACACTTTATTAGTTTCCTTTTTCTCCAACCTGTTTTTATCTTTCACTTTTCAGTCAGATTTTACATCTGGTGTTATGGGAGCTAAAATCCTATTTTCCTGCCAGTCAAACTGTGTTATCGTTGGTATTTCTCATTGATTCATCTAAATAAATGGGAACACATTGTCTCCTAGCGACAGAGCGCTGGCTACAAAGAGCCTAAAGATCACACTTTAATGCAGCGTTCTCTGGTTTGTGACGATGCAACACTTCATCAACTGAACTGAAGCCACTTTATGTAAAATGTGTGAAATTGCATCCATCTACTGCTGTGACTGAGTCCATATGACGAAAATGATGTAAATGCTTGTTTTAGACAACATGCTGGGTGATGATATTTCCTTTAATCTAAAATTGCATAAATTGTACCTCAGGTATTGCAGGAACACAAACAAGCATCACATCTCTGTGGACAGAGATTCAAACTTCCCAACATTTCAGTCGCCTGCTGACATCCGACTGAATCTGTAAAACCGGATGAACCTGCTACACCTTCAACTGTTTCACTTAAATTACCATAAACCTTCACAATAATGCTATAAGAATATCTGAACGTTTGTGGTTGAAACAAAACAAAACCTTGCAAAACATCAAAAGGGGTGTGAATACTTTTGCAGGACACTGCGGTGTCTAAAAACTCAGTAATATATCTGGTTGATGAAACACTAAAGCAGGGCTGGATGTAGAGCTTAAATATACAAAGACGTGACGGAAACCTGCTGGAGTTTGTTTGCACTGAGGATAGAAAGAATTATTTTTCTTTATTTCTTCTTTGATATTTCTTTTTCATGGCTTATTCTTTAATTAGCAATATTCAATATGACAAAGGAGAGAATTAGAGAATTTGTATTTCAATACCTATATTATTTATTTGTCGTCAGTAAAAGAATATTTTCAAATTTGTTCAGTTTTCCTGAGATGCTCAAAGTTGTTTTGCCTCTTTTATCCAAAGCAGCCGTTTAACTTTTAAAAGTAAATTTTTAAAATAAAAAATAATGTGATTCCTTCAGATCTCACTTAACAGGACCAGAGACACTAAAGACTGACAAAGATAACTATTTGCTTTACCTGGTGATGTGTTAACATGAAACAAGACAGGTGTGTTTCCATAGCAACCAGCCCAGGTCATGTGCTTTCTGTCTGCAGCTCTCTGACCTCCTGCTGATCGCCTTGAATCAGAACCTGGTCCAGTTCACGCTGCGGCCGGGGGTCCAGGTCACCGTGTACGCCGCTCACCTGTCGGCAGGTAAGGCCGCCGTCCGCCTGCTCACCGTCTACCTTCAGCACAAACATGAAGCATGTGGCCAGGCTCAGCGGACAGTCAGGTTTATATTTCATATTTTTATTGCCCCACCCCCTCTCGACTAATAACTCCACCCCTGTGTCTGATTGGCTCCCACCATGTAGCTACACAGAGACATTCAGAGACGTATGTGTGCCTCTTCCTTTTGGGGATGCTGCTACTGTCCTAAAGGGGCTTTTAAGCTAAAGAGTAAGAGAAGTCCATATATTAAACCGATTCATCACATGGGTCTCATTTCTGTTCACTGCTCGTTGCATGAGGCAGCAGGCTGCTAATACACCTCCTCTAACTCTGCTGTGTTGTTCACACGCTGCGGTGGCTGTCTCCCTGTCTCTGCAGCGCCCCTGGTGGACACCAGCGAGAACCACAGTGGCTCTGCCATGCTAATGCTGCTCTCTGTAGTGGTTGCGGGTTTAGCTGTGTTTGTCATCTACAAATTTAAGAGGTAAAGTTTTCCTGAAGCTCGACACACAAACAGCTGACAGCTGCTGATCAGGCCATCGCTCACAAAAAGAAATGTCAGTCGGCCTTCAGCGGCTTTCAGGATGAAGGCCTTTAAATGGAGGCTGCTGACCTTTCTGAAATGTTAAACCGTGTTTCCTTGCTGAGACGGCGTTCAGAGGGAAAATCATGTGAAGGGTCATGAAGATTTATAGACAAGCAGAAGCAAAATGAAACATTTATTAGCCTTAACAGGTTTTATATCTGCTGAATCCCATCCAGACGCTGGTTGACATGGAGCAAACATTCAGTTAAAGGTTGAGGAAACCAGTCCGATCCATCATGTGTTCCTGGTAGCTTCCTCTCTCTTTCCGTCTGCCTCACTGTAAATCTTTCCTCAAGGAAGATCCCAGGCCTCAACGTCTATGCGCAGATGCAGAACGACAAAGAACCAGAAGTGATGAGTCCAGCCAATCCCTCAGAGGCCACGCCCTGCTCACCGCAGGACTCGGTGCCTTCTCTGGAGATTCTGGACACCGAGTTGAACTCGCGGCCCATCGGTGAGTGACCTTTGACCTGATCCGAGCCTCCCGTCTCGTCTCACGGCTGCTTCACCCCGTCCTGTCGCTCATCCTGTGCTTTCTGTTGTTTCTCAGTGAAGTGGTCCAGACTGCAGGAGAACTAGACATAAACAGATCAGAGGCTGTTAGTGGTACGGTCAACACGCTGCCTCTCCTCTGAACGGGTCGACATCAGACTCAGCCTCACATTATACGGAATGATATGAGTGCCAACATTTCTTATTAAACACTTTGCGAATGCTTTCTGTAAAATCACAAAATTAAGTTTGAAAACACTGTTTATTGATTATGTCATTATTTATTTTTTCTTTATGTTATTTATGTGTTTGATTATTTTAATGTCAACTTTTGTTTCTTGGATTTATAAGATTTATTCCACTTTGTCTTTTTTTGACTTTTATTTTTTAACTACATTTCAACATTAAATATTTTATTTAGTTTTATTTCTCGTTAATCAATGGATTATTTGCTTTTATTATAGCATTTGAGTTTTTAGCTGCCTTCCCGTTATTCCATACTTATGATTTTAAAACCACATTCAATTCAAAATACTTTATTTATCCCAATGGGAAATTAAACATTGACATCATTCTGATCACTCAATTATTTCCAAAGAATCATTATGGACGGTGATGCTGTGGGCAGGAAGGATCTCCAGTAGCAGTCAGTCTTCAAACTATTGGAAGAGGCCTCTGACTGAAGACCTTTGCTGCATGGTAGTCTGTCATAAAGTGCTAACAGCCAATGTTCAGGCAGCAGATCATATGATGCTAATCAGCTGCTCCTAGATGTAAAAAACAATCAAAAATTGATTATATATCATATCAACTGTCTGACCATAAAAGGAGCAAACATCCTTACTGCTGCACAGCATCTAAATCCAGAGGGAGAAATTATCCAGACATTCAAAGCCAAAACCAGAAAATGATAAAAGTTTAGGAGAAGATCCAATCAGCGCTAACGTCACAGAGCTGCTCCACGTCTGTCCTCCTGTGCTGTTCAGAAACGGTCCAGCGTTTAGTTTATGTCCAGAGTAACTGCAGAACTTTAATGTTTTAATAGGAGCATAATATGCCTCATTTCAGATTTCATGCCTCATCTGTCTGAGTTTGTTCTGATTTATCATCCATCAGTTCTTCCTGTGAAGAGTTGATTTTATCTCTGAGATCCAGTCATGAATAACATTTCTGGTTGACACAAAATGTCACTTGTTTTATTTTCAGTTTTACTGCCATTAGTTTGCATTTTTATATCATTCTGCAGAGTAATCAAAGTAAGAACAAAAAAACTCTCTTCACTCTATTTTAACCCAAACTGATTCAGTTAGGTTCACCTCAGCCTTCTGAAGATTTGACATCCACAGAAAAGCTTCTTCGGTTTCCCTCCAATTGTAACAACAGTCATTGTCCCACTTCAGCTTCATCAGAACCCGGACATGGAGTCCAAACGTTTGTCCCAGAGTGAATGTCCAAACTGTGATGTGGCTTTGATGTTGTCTTAACATCTTCTTCTTCTCTGAATGGCCTTTCAGACCTTGTTGATACAGGATGTGGATGATGACACTCTCAGTTTTAGGCATCATCTTAAGGTGCTTTTGAGTTCAATCTGGGTTTAACTCACATATTTCACACCAGTTCTGTTGAATTTATTTCATGATGTCACACAAGGAAGCAATATGTTGGAGGAATTCCCTGAAACATATCTGAAGTGTGTCAACAGCCTTTCAACCAGCATTGAAAATATGTAACAAACTTTTTATCTTATTCTTTGACTTCATGTTCCACAGAACAGGCTAATCTGCAACGATGACGGCAAAGTTATACAAGACTATGATCATTACTAGAATATTACTGATAAGTTGATTTATTCCAGTAACTTCATGGTAAATAAATCTGATTATTGATTTTTTTTTTACAAAGTTGGATGTTTTCAAGGACGTATTTCTGTTAATTTAGATATTTTTATTACAGATCATGACAACACATTTAAACCTAGAACTTTACCCCAGACATGAAAAACATTTTATTAATGAATAACATTTGTTTAGAGGTCTTTATATGTTGGTTTGTTAATCTGTGTTCTGTCTGCTCTGCTCTCCCCTCAGGATGTATGAAACCTCATGTACATGTGAAATTCTCCACAGAACTCCCCACATACATCGTCTGAACTCTGGACTGGACTGACGCCTCCAGCTCCCATCATGGATTTGATCTTACTTTTGTTTGGATTTTGTGTTTGGATCTCGATGGTTTGGAGCTTTACACCTGTGCATATTGGAGCCGGATGACACATACTGTGCTCTGCTGAACGCAGAAGAAACTGTACAGGTTTTATTTTCTTCTCGTTTCTCCTTCATGTTTTAAAAGAAACATGTTCAGACTTGAGTTTGTTTCTGAGTCGAGGAGGATCGCCAGCATGAACGAATCGAAAGTTTGGGATTTTCTCACATCCTGGATCGGTTTGCTGCTTTCTGATGCAAACAGCAGACGGTGTATTATTTATTCATATAAAAATACTTTCATGAAGTACGATATGGAAGTGAGTGACATATTAATTTTGTAAATCATGAATGTCTATGTTAGAACTTTGTGTATTTTAATAACAAATGTACTAAAAAGAGACACTTATAAAATATGACTCAGCTATTTCAAAGCTTTTGATCTACTGTCCTCAAAAAGCTGATTTATGGCACAAAGCAGGTTTTCTACTGAAATATTCTGCTTTTATTTTGGCTTTTACAACAACGTTGAGCTTTCAGGATTAATTTAAGCCTTCATGTTTGTTGCCTCTGCTCATGTTGATGACACCTGCCAGTTTGTAAAAAGCTCCGTGCTTCAGAACCTCCTTCCCACAGCCAGGCCCCAGCCTTCAGCAGAGCTTTCAGGAGCAAAGATAAAGCTGTGTGTGTGGATGGCGCCGATGCCGCCGGTGGTCCTGGAATGACCGCAGGAGGCCAAGTGGAGCTTATCGAGACCCGCGTAGAAACGTGGGACCTGGAATGAGATCCAGCTGCTTTACAGGAGAAGTCAAAGAGCTGGAAAACACAGAGACAGATGGAAGTACGGCGAAGCATTAGGAGCGTTCCAGTGGGCAGAATGAGAGGAGGGCGACTGCTTGAATACTTAATGTGGCCCGTCGAGCTCAAGGCCCGCTAAGGTTGGTGACACATCTGGGTTAATGTTGTGACCTGCTGCAGCGAGGCGGCCGTCTTCATCCCGGCTCATTAGGACGTGCTGCAGGAGCGCAGCAGCAGAACTGGAGCACAGCAGCTGCAGGGCGCCGCGGCCGGCTCAGACCAGACACACGGAAACGCCTGATTGATGCTTTCACAGCTTCTGAGGCAACGCAGCCGGACCCGGTTAGAACATTTTTAAACCGATGTTAGGTCCAAACAAAGCTTTTCCATGTACCACACCTTGGAAAAGTATTCAGATCCCTGGAAATGTCCTTATTTTGTCACATTACAAACATAACAGTATTTTATTCCAACTCTATGTGATGGATCAACACAAAGTGAAAGTTTGTGGACTTTGGAATGAAACAGTTTCACAGTTCACTGAGGGTTTCCAAAGTTTTACTCACCTCCAGACGCTTTCTGGCAGATTCTTCTTTTCAAATTAGTTTAAAGCTCCATCAGATTGGATGAAAAGCTTCTGAGAACATCTATTTAAAGCACTGAGCTTTGACTAGGCCATTCCAACACCTAAATATCCCCTGCCTTTGGCTGCATGTTTGGGGTCAGAGGCCTGATACTTCCTGTATTTTCCTGGTTTATCTTCTCATGAACTCTGACCTGCTTCTGCTGATGAAAGCCTCCCCAAAGTATGATGCTGCCACCTCCATGTTTCCTGGTGGGGATGTTCATGGTGACGTTCCTTTTGTGTGTTGACCAGAAAGTTTTGCACATCCCCTCCTTCCATGTTCACCATGTCTCCATCATGGCTGTGGTGAACCGAAAGCAGAACTTTTTCTGGCTCTTTTTGCTCCTGTTCCATTAAAGTCTGATTAGTGGAGCGTTCCACTTGTATTTGTTTTGTCACCAGGTTCTCCCACCTGAGCGCTGATCCCTGCAGATCCTCCAGAGTTATCTAATAAACGCTCTCACTGCCCGGTCCAGTTGAGACGACATTCAGCACTGGATCACTATAATTAGATCTGAAGTGAGCCAGTTGCTTTATGCTTGTCAGAATTTTATTTGAAGAAGATTTTTAGAATTAAATAACTTTGCATTCATTAGTCATACATTACTTTGTGTTGGTCTGTTTCATAAAGTCTTGATAAGACGTCTGTGTTTGTAACACCGACATGTTGGTATGTCGTGGTGTGAAGTTTGCAAATTGCTGCAGATGAAGAAAAGTGAAGGAAGTCTCAGCTGTTACTGCAGCTTTAAAGAAGATCCTTTGGTTCCCATCAGTGAAGTCTTGGAGACGATTGGCCCGGACATTCAGGAAATGAGCTAAACACCTGTTGGGAGAACAGGAAGTTGGTCTGACTGTGGATAAACTAGGTTCTAACCTGGGAGAGTTATCTAAAACTGAGATAGAATGAGTTTGGCTGTATCCACAGGCCTTGTTGTCCTAAAGTATTGGATTTTACTTCTGGTTCGAAAATAGAAATATGAAGTCACTGAGGTCAGTCTGGATGTTTTAACTGACAAGTATGGGAGATATCATTTCCCATACTTGTCAGTTAATACTTGAGCTTTTACTCTTCAACACTGGACCAATATGGATCAGTGTCAGGTTGTTTCAGACTGACTAGATATTGTTCTTATTCACAATTATCTACATTGAAAATTAGCTTTTTGCTCACAAATGTTGTTCAAATGTATTATTAATATTTAAACTCAGTCTTGGTTTGATCAATTTTGATGAATTACATGTTATTTAGATTGATGGCCATATATATATATATATATATATATATATATATATATATATATATATATATATATATATATATATATATATATATATATATTCAAACAAAACAAATTTGATTTAATGCTTGTGGCCAGTTTTTCTGCATTTTGTTTTTTCTAAGGCTTTTACCTGTAGATGCAGATCTGATGATAAATATTTTCTATTTAAAACATTCCCACAGTTACCTCCCACTTAAATCTCTAAATTCTCAAAACGTTCTAATAATTATTCCTCCTGTTTTTTCGTCTTCTGCCTTCTCCTGCTTTTTTCCACTGTTTGACGTTTTTCTGTCTCACAATCAATGGACTGTGCCAGGCCAATAGTTGCACCCTAACTCTCCCGTACCATGGTTCTATGGACCCATTGCTGGAGCTGGGCCAGGTGGCCGGTTTGGGTTGGTAGGATGGAACAAGCTATCCAACTGACCCGAGCCGCACCACTCAGTGGAAACGAGGCATTTATGAGTCATTGTGAAAATAATGGAACAGTAGAAGCTGTAAAAATGTGACCCTGTAAAACAAACTATGATGCCAATGCAACATTTAACACTGATGTCACCTTCCATAGTTTAGTTTTAGGCCCGGTTTATTTCCTTGCTTTGTTTTTTATCTGAGGTTCCAGGACCAGGTCTGTAGTTTTTTTTACCATGTCTTGTTGTGTTTGAGTCATTTATTCTGGTATGTTTTTGTTTTGTTTATTTTTTGTGGACAAAGAAAATCAGAACAAAATAACATTTTACTTCGCAGCAGTTCACTTTATTTTATGACCAACTTTTGTAAAGTAGGGATGTAAACAGTCTTCAGATCTGTTTGGCCAGTCTTTGTTTTAAACTGAACCATCATGTCAGTCGGGAGCAGTGGTGCAAAGCAGAAGAGTCTGAATCCAAACCAGAAGAGAGCTCTGCTTGGAGACGTCCAGTCAGACGTCCAGTCAGACGTCTGAAGGCTGACCTGCTTCCTGGCTCAGCTGAGCTGGGATGTGTGAGCGCTGTGGGAAACATCACGGAGCTTTAGACCGAACCCTCTCCATCTCCTCCTTGCAGAATTAGCAAGATTATTATTTTTGTAGAGAAATATGAATAATAATCCAAAAATAAAGTTTTATTACTGTACAGCTTTTGTATGAGAACAGACGGTAAGATGTTCAAGTGTTTCTGTTTGACCTCAACTGTGCTGTGTGTAATTGTTTAATGCATTTACAATCATATTTATTAAATGGAAAGAAGTCTGTTAACTGTTCCTGTGTTTTTTGGGGGGATTTTTTTTTTATGATTTTCTGTCTTAGTTGTAAAAGCTCTACTGTTGTTCCAGTTTTCACTTTAATAACTAGTGTGCATCAGAAACAGTTTTGTTTTGATCATTTTTCATCATATTTTAAAAATCCTAAACTTACCAAACTATTTCAAAGTTTCCAATTAGAATACACTGCAGTGCCAGTTTATGTCGCCAGGTGGCAGACTTGTCATTTATCGTTTCAATTAGAACGAAGAGACTAATAAATGGACCAATTAACTTTCAGGTTCAGTCAGAATTGGTTATTAAGCAGTATTCACCTCGCTGCTCATGTGTTAAAGTAATGAAACCAAGATGGCTCCCAACAACTGATCAGCAGATGGAGGAGCCACTGAGTTTAGAGCGTCACAGATTATCAGCAGCAGTTCGCATCAGAGACACAGAGAGGAAGAAAGTCACTGAAGTGGACGTCCTTCAGCCACATCCCACATCAGCCACCGCTCCGTTGTGAACAGAACCCAGGATGCCACTCAACTCCTGGGACTGGAGGTGAGAGGCGCCTCAGTGCCACGTTTGAACCATCAGGGTGGTCGACAAGGAGGGCGCCATGCATCCGGCACTGATGACAGACTGCAACACCATCTCTCATTGTTTATATTCATTAATTACATTATTTGCTGTTTTAAACTGTGAACTTTATGTTCTCTCTGTTATTTTTCCGTGTATGAAGCTACATCTGGTCTGGCGTTCTGATTGGCTGAGGCTCCTTCAGCTGTTCACTGTTTACTTCTTATTAACATAGAAAGTACTGCTGGATCAGTTCTTCTGTTTCTTTCTGTGTCTCTGCTCTGTCTGCTCAAACGTCCAGTCAGTGTTGGCAAACGGCTGCTGGTACTGAGCCAGGTTCTGGTTCTGGTTCCGGTTCCGGTTCTGGTCCTGGTCCCGGTTCTCCTGGAGCTTTCTTCCTGTTAAAGAGGAGTTTTTCCTCTCCACTGTCGCTACATCAATGCTCAGTATGAGAGATTACGCAAGAGCTTGTCGCCCCCTGCTGGTCAGGAGGAGTGAACGCTGCAAGTCAAAGACTTGATGTTCTGCTGTGTTTCCTTAAACATTTTAAGCTAATTTGAATAATGAACTGAAGTTAATGCAAAAAGCCAACAACATTGCATGTTTCTGAATAAATCCCCTACTGCTGTTAACTTTTTGGTTTTCCGTAAATATCCTGAAGGCCAAATATCCCTCACTTTTTGAGAGTGCCGTATGAATGGAGTCTTTATCAACACTGCTGTAGAAATGTACAGAAACTTCAGACATGGGAGGATTCTGGCATGATCTTAATGAAGAAACTTCAGGTGTCAAGATGTGACAGAACCACATGGACCAAAGGTTCCAGATCTGGAACACAAAGTTACATCCAGCTAAAAGGACCAGATGACGGATGAACATAAAAGAAAAACTCATCGTACTTCAGCCATCACAGAGTTCAGTTAATGTTGGTAGGAAAAGCCAAACAGCAGCTTGCAGCTACTTTTTGAAGATTTCTTCTTTAGACTTTGTAAACATTTGCATTTTTTCCAACTTTTTCAGGAGACTCTAAGCTGTTATATGGCTGGAGTAAATAAGATGGTTGTGCTTCTCCACCCCGTCCCTCTGCTGCTCTGCTGAGTGGTTTAAACCATTTGTTAAGATGAGGGGATGCTGCTGAAATTAGGGAAGAGCAACTGAGAGGGAGTCATTAAAGATGAAGATGCTAATTTCAGCTGGGATGTAACCTTAACAAGAACCAGAGCACAGTATAACGATGCTGAAATGAGTGATAGTGCATAAAGGATGGGGGTAATTATAGCCGGCTCTTTTACTCTTATTTATGCAGCTCCTGGAATAGCTGCGCTCTGAGCAGCAGTCATGCTAATGACGCTGACTGCAGAGAACGGCTAAAGTTGCAGAGTAGTGCTAGTGTACAAAACATGTTTTAGAATAAGATCAGAATAACAACGACAAGTGAGCGAGTCAGCAGGAAACCATGATGGCCGTCCAGAGAGGCAGCAGCCTGTTGCTGCTGTGAGGGAGGAGGAGGTGGAGGGAAAGCCACCACCTTTCAGATGCTCAAACACACCATGCAGGAAAAAAGCTTAGCAAGAGTTCAGACCCAGGTCCAGGCTGGTTCTGCTGATTCCTCAGGGATTACTGAGGCTCTGCCTGCTGGCACTGCATGAATGAAACTGTCACGACTGTTGGTGTCGATGTGGTTGGTGGAGATGAAAGGGTGCAGAAATGTTGTCTCATTTTGAATAGATTAGGGTTAAAAACTGCATCCAAATAACTTTAAAGTTTCATTTAGAGATGCTCCAGTTAGAGTTTTATGGCAGATCCAGAGTCTCCGGTTTTTGGTCATTCATTTATAAATCTCACAGTTTCAAACTACTCGCTAACTAAATATATAAAATATTGTAAATATATATAAAATATGTATACTAATATTTTATTAATATATAAAATATTTATTTAGCAAGCCAAATATTTAGCTTTACATTAAATGTTTGGCTTCTGAACTAAATACTTAGTTTGTCACAAAATATTAATTTGGTGAAGTGAATATGTTTCTTGCTAAATAAATACTAGTTTGGATCTAAATATTTAACAAGTTAACTGACCTATTAGATGGCCACAAAAATCCTGAATTTAGCTTTTGTGGGACAAAAAGGACTGTTTCTATTCTATTCTATTCTATTCTATTCTGATCAGTTTATGTTTCTTCAAACACAAACTGATCTGAGTAGGACGAGGTCGGGACTAACCTTCCTGTCCTCTGAGGAAAGGACAGAAACGCAGCCTGAGCTCTGAGTCCATCGTCTCTAGAACATAAATTTACCATAAATTGGTGAAGCTTGATTTGATTAAACAGTTTCTGTTCCGGCTCTGTTTCTGCAGAGGAAGGAGGGACGTTCCTGATTCTAACCTCGTTATGGCGCTCAGTCAGGATGGACACACATCTGCCCGCTCTCTTCTCTCAAACATCAGCTCCACATTTGCTCTTACAGATGAAATTTATAGAAAACCATCCCACCACTCAGAAACGCAAATACTAAGTAAAAACCCTACTTTCATTGTCTGATCATAAAATATTCCAGATATTCACCTTTTTGTGTGTAAAGAGCTGATCAGGGTGTTTGATATGGAAATGCAGCTGAGGCGTTTTGCATTCTGCTGATCTCTCCTTAATTCAGCTCAGAGGTTTTCTGTTTTCCTTTCGGCTCTGAAGGATCTTTTTGTTTTGACTGCAGAGGGCGTGCGTGTCCCCTGGCCTTGGCATAAATAGAAGCTGACAATAAAATTTGGCTTGGAGGAGAATTCATGAAAGAGGGAGCTCTGCTTCTGTAACAAAGGCTGATTTACATAACTGAGCATCTGTGTGCTGTTGAAACAACTTATTAAAAACACAGACATGAAATGAAGTTCAGCTTCTGTACGGCGGACAGAGAGCGTCCACTTTAGATGACCAGGGGCTTTTCAGATTAAAAGACTGTAGCTGATAAAACCTGAGACCATTTCTTCATGACCTAAGTGTCTCTCATTCAAGTCATTTTTCAGATGGTGCTTGTGAATCCATGTGGACTCGCCTGATGGTCCAAACAAAGCTGACTCTCCCAGCGACAGACAGCGTTTCATTAAAATTCAGCCTCTGAGGTCCAGAGTGTTTATTCGGCTGCAGACGAAGCGGTGAAATGGCCCCTGACTCATGCTCATTAGGCACCATCCTGCAGACATCACAGCTGCTGCTTGATACCAAACCCAAACTGTAGGAGTTTGTGCTGCTGAATGCTTTCAGACCTTGTATGGTGTCATGTCTGATGCTATCTTTTTAATTACAATGGTCAAAAAAAGCAACATAAATCCTGCTGTCATCATCAAGTTTCTTCCTTGAAGCTCCTCAGATGTTCATCATTTTCCTGTGATTGTTTCCAGTGCTTCTCTCAGAAATGAACTGGAATTTTGTCCCATTCCTGCTGACAGAAGAGCTGAAACCATCTGGGGCAGAGATCAGTGATGGTCTCTCCAAAACGTCGACTTGTTTCACCTTCAGCCCCTGAGTAGTGATGCTGAGGGCCGCTGTCACCTTGACAGTTCCAGTTTTACCAAAACTTTACCTGCAGAGCATTTCCAGATTTCCACCATCTTATAAGAAACAAATTTCTCTGAAAAATCATTTTAAAAAGATATTTTGAATGTAAATTTGGGCATATTTTTACGAAACTTTCCCCTCACTTAGGCCTAGGCTCTAAATTTTATAGAAACACTTTTTATGTTATTTAAGCTCTTTTTTCAAGTGCTGGTTATGTTGTGACTTCAGGTAAAATTGTAAGAAGCTTCACAGATTTGTTATCTGATTCTATCAGAGACTCAAAATGTCATCTGGAATTAGCATTTAAAATTGGTGAGTCATTTTTCCATTATTATTTATTTTTATTTTTGAAAAGGCATTGCTTTTTTGATTCCTCCATAGCATCCATAGCATATGAATGCTGTGCAGCTAACATGATTTTTTTGCTGTTGCTTATCTCTTGGTTTCTCCTTGCAGTTATGTATGTCGGTGAATTTAGTAGATCTTCTAAAATTCTCCAAGTTTTGTGCTTTATTTTTGTGACATATTGTGTAAATACTTCATAAAGAACGTTTTTCCATTAATTGTTGTTTTGAACTGTATTTGGTTCACAGATTCTGAACTCAGATCAAACCAAAGTGACGATGAGTGACCTCCTAAGATTATAGATTATCAGCAGACTCACTGGAAGAGGTGAGATTAGACCGGCTCAGCTTAGGTGGTGGCAGTAAAACAAGCAGTGAGGAGAAGAGGAAGATCAGGGGCAGACAGACTGGAAGCTGATGCAGGATGCTGGAGTAAACTCAGCATGAGAAATCTCTTGAACCTGATGATAAAACCAGGACACCAACAGATGCTTCCAGAACTCACACGCAGGCGACCAGAACAAAAGTCTGCTGAAACACCGACCAAATGTCACTGTCGACATCATGCATGAATTAGCATATTCATGGGCCACTCATCTGCTTTGTTCCAGCTCTTTACATCTGTTTTCTTCTGTCCTACATGCTGGGCGTACAAACTCTGTGTACTAATACAGCCTGATGCTAATACAGCTGCTCTCATTTACATACAGATGCAGCACAGAGAGTGAAACGCCTCTGTGACGTTCGTTACCACTGAGTCCTGATCCTTCATATCTTCATCTTTTAGAGAACATGTGTCAAACTCAAGGCCCGCGGGCCACCTGTGGCCCGCCATGTCATTTTATNTAAGCTTCAGATTTAGGTTTCAGATTTAGGTTTCAGATTTAAATTTCAGATTTAGGTTTCAGGTTTAAGCTTCAGATTTAAGTTTCAGATTTAAGCTTCAGATTTAGGTTTCAGATTTAAATTTCAGATTTAGGTTTCAGATTTAAGCTTCAGATTTAAGTTTCAGATTTACGTTTCAGATTTAAGCTTCAGATTTAGGTTTCAGATTTAGGTTTCAGATTTAAATTTCAGATTTAAGTTTCAGATTTAAGCTTCAGATTTAGGTTTCAGATTTAGGTTTCAGATTTAGGTTTCAGATTTAAATTTCAGATTTAGGTTTCAGATTTAAGTTTCAGATTTAGGTTTCAGATTTAAGCTTCAGATTTAAGCTTCAGATTTAAGTTTCAGATTTAAGCTTCAGATTTAAGTTTCAGATTTAAATTTCAGATTTACGTTTCAGATTTAAGCTTCAGATTTAGGTTTCAGATTTAAGTTTCAGATTTAAGTTTCATATTTAGGTTTCAGATTTAAGCTTCATGCTGGTGCGCAGAGCCGATCGGTTGGGAACGTTGCTACCCTGAACAGAGCGGACACGGTTTGGAAAGACGCTCCTTTCTTCTTGGATCCCTTCTTGGATCCGGCGGCGGCTGAATCTGCAGTGATGACAAATATCAAATAAACTGTTGATATTCCCCAAACACACGCTGCAGTTCCAGCCAGTCTTTAGCCAGAGAATAAAGGTTCTACTCTCTCAGTTAGTGGAAATGTTTCCTGTGTGTCGCGTTGTTAGCTCTAGTGAAGTTAGTATCCGTGGCATGAGGAACGTAAATGAGTGATGAACTTCGTGCCTTCGGCTCCAGAGAAGCTGGCGTACAGCATCGCCAAGGTTTTGCTGGAGGACTTCCGGTAGAGCTGGACCACGGACTCGTTGAGCGGGTCTTTGTTCTTCTCCAGCCAGCCGCTGATGTTGTAGTCCACGTTCCCGGCGTAGTGCACCAGCGTGAAGTGCGCCTCCGGCTTCCCTTTCGCCGCTTTGGGCTTCAGGAAGCAGCTGTTCTTGCCCAGATGTTGGTCGTACAGTTTGTTCTTGAAGGAAGTGTCGGATGATTTGGGGAACATGCACTCCTCTTCCAGGATGGAGAAGATTCCCATGGGCTTGGAGACAAAACCTCCCATCAGCATCACGATACAGCGGTCTGGAGGAGCGGCTGTGATTGGCTGCTACCTTCTCAATGAGCTCAATGCAGGCTGCCAGGTCCATCCCAAAGTCGATGAACTCCCATTCGATGCCCTCCTTCTTATACTCCTCCTGCTCCAGCACAAACATGTGGTGGTTGAAGAACTGCTGCAGCTTTTCGTTGGTGAAGTTTATGCACAGCTGCTCCATGCTGTTGTACTGAACACAAAGAATAAAGATTACATTTGCATCAACATTCCTGGAGACATACGAACAGATCCGAGACGCTACATCAAAGATCTCAAAGCCAGCGATGTCCAGGACGCCGATGAAATGCTGTCTGGACTGCTTGGTGTCCAGCTGCTGGTTGATGCGCAGGACCATCCACAGAAACATTTTCTCATACACCGACTTGGCCAGAGCGCCGATGGCGTTGTAGACCTGCAGACGGACAGAGACGGCTCACTGCACGTTTAATGACAGAAAAAGCTTCATTATGATAAATGAGTGAAAAAATGATGTAAAACTACTGAGAATTAAATCACAGCAGGGATGAAAAATGTTCTGGAGGTTTAGATATCATCAGTATGAATGATATTTTTAAGGCGAACTGATAATAAAACAATACAAATTTATTTTTACAAAACTTAGGAAGTTATTTTGAATGTTTAATGTGACGCTTTAAAAAAATGGTTGGTGAAAACTCGGTTACTGTAACGACGTTTGGACTGAGGTCAGGCACTCTCTGGTTTTAGTGATGATGTCACAGATTTCCTGATGTCGGCTCTTTGAGGTTCAGCCAATCAGGGCCCAGGAAACAACAGTGGTGCTCTGGGATTGGCTGCTATGCAAACGCCGTGGCGCGTCATGTAGCATTGCGGCTACATGTTTATTTTATATATGAGCTACTGAGAAATGTGCAAGCTTGTGAATTTGTGAGTTATATTCCACAGTGGAGCCATGAACAGATGTGGGTCCTGCTGGGCAGATATTCTTTTATTTCAGCCTTTATGCATCATTTTGTCCCTGATGTGAATCAGAAAATGCTCAAATGAAAACCTCTGCAGTCATTAACTGGAACTAAGACCTGATCAACATCTGAAACTGTGTTCGTGACGACAGGATGTGAAATGCTTGGCCTCATGAAACACCAGAGTTTCTCTGATACCTGCTGCACATTTTGACCTTTGGTCACGAACTCATTCCCGACCTTCACCCTAGGATAGCAGAGGTTCTTCAGGAGGTCGGCAGAGTTCAGGCCCATCAGGTAGGCAGCTTTATCAGCCTCTGCAGAGACAGAAGCGTTAGGCACGTCTCTGCATGCGGCCGGCCGCACACCGCCCATCACCGGCTCCACCTTCGGTGCCGTCCGGCTCCGCCTGCTCCTCCCGCTGCTTCTGCTTGAACTTCATGTTGCCGTAATGCATAACGGCGCCGGTCAGCTTGTAGGCGGACGCTTTCTCATCAGGCAGGAAGCCCAGGATGTCGAAGGCTTCCTGCGTTTGCAGAAATAAAAAGGTAGAAGCTGCTAACAGGGAAGAGCCGCCGGTTTCTACAGAATCCACTCACATCCGTTGCCACAAGCTCCTCGGCATCGTTGATGCTTTTCACGCTGATTTCCCCCTGACTGATGAAGGCAAAGTCATACGGGTTGGTGGTGATCAGAAGCAGATCTGCAGAATAAGAAATCCAGTTCATGTTTGACTAAATGATAAACAAAGAGGGAAATAATGAGGTTACCGATGAGTTCAGGTTTCTGGTTGCATGTGAGCTGATAGAATATGTGGTAGCTGCGCTCAGCCGACAGCTGAAACGTCACTCTGGACTTTTCCAGCAGATCTGTTAGGAAAAAGTAAAAATCATTAAAACTTTCTGCAGCATAGCAGCGAAATGAATTTAAATCCATCCTTATTTAAACTCACACGTTTCGATGTCTGCAGATGCCAGCTTCCCAGTGGCTCCGAAGTGGATCCGGATGAACTTACCCTACAAACAGAGCCAGTTATCTGCAGCCGATCCTAATCGATCATCTTATCGATCATCTTATCGAAGCGAAGCCGGCAGGCCGACTCACGAAGCGAGACGAGTTGTCGTTCCTCACGGTCTTGGCGTTCCCAAACGCTTCCAGCAGCGGGTTGGCCTGGATGATCTGATCCTCCAGAGTCCCCTGATGACCAAAACATAATAATGGAAACCAAGACATACTTAGTTTCTGCTGCAGCAATTTCCCAACAATCCAAATCACTGAAGTACAAATATTTTAATAAAAGATTTTATCTTGTCAAAGGTCCTCAGCTGGAGGCTTTGATAGCAGCGCTAACATCCTCATCAAACGTAAAGATGGGATCAAACATCCTGTGTTTAAATTTATATGAACCCCCCAGTGGGGCCCACTGGGCCCGCGCCCATGAAAACAGAAGGACAGCCGCTGAGCGCGCTCACCCTCATTTTGCTGCTGCTCTCCTTTTTCTTGTCTGTTGCCATGGCGATCGTTGCAAAGTACTGAATGACACGTTTGGTGTTGACGGTTTTCCCGGCTCCAGATTCTCCACTGAGGAAAAAATCGACTTTTAAAGTTTTTCTACCAAAAACAGAAAAACAAACAGTTTTTACTCAACTTACGTGATGAGGATGGACTGATTGACCCGATCTGCAGACAGAGGAGAGGGATGAGCCACGTGTGTGTGTGTGTGTGTGTGTGTGTGTGTGTGTGTGTGTGCGTGTGTGTGTGTGTGAGTGTGTGCGTGTGTCGATGTGTGTGTGTGTGTGTGTAAATGTGTGTGTGTGTGTGTGTGTGGGTGTGTCTGTGTGTGTGTGTGTGTGCGTGTGTCGGTGTGTGTGTGAGTGTAGGTGTGTGTAAGTGTGTGTGTGTGTGTGTGAGCGTGTGTGTGTGTGTGTGTAAGTGTGTGTGTGTGTGTGTAAGTGTGTGTGCGCGCTCACCGGTGAGCATGAACTGGTAGGCGTTGTCAGAGAGGGCGAAGATGTGCGGCGGAACCTCCATCCTCTTCTTGCCCCTGTAGGCCCGGACCACCTCCGGGTTGTAGACCGGCAGCCATTTGTACGGGTTGACGGTCACACAGAAGAGCCCAGAGTACGTCTGCACCGAAACCAAAGGTAATCTGATTACAATCTACAAATTACAGAATCACTTTCACATTTAACAAAGATCTTAAATTAAAAGCATGTTGCTGTGAATAACATTTTATCCCATTTTTGGAGATATTTACAGATTCTTACTGTGCATTTTTATTAGTTGAAGGTTTTATTTTCAAACATTTTGTGTTTCTTCAGAAATATTTTATACAGTTTTTAACTTAAATTCTTGTTTCTTGGTGTCATTTTAGCCTTTAACATGATATGATGTAATCCATATTGAGAATCGATAAAATGCAACACAATACGATACAATATAATACAATATATTAAATAACATATATGACACGATATTATGCAGGATGATATGAAATGATATCATGACATGAGACAATATAAAATGTAATATGTAAATACTATAAAGATGAACTGAATAGAAATTAATGTTGCACATAGTTACTTTAAAAAAGGCATTTTACAAAAGAAACCCACAAAGTTCATTGTATATAGAGAAACATGTGGTCCTATTATATAATTATATGGACAGATTAAAAACCAGTTAATTCTATTTCTGTCATATTTACATGTTTCTATGAGTATTTTCTAATTTTCTGTAGGTTTTAAATTTAGCAGCTTTCAGAGCTGAACAGATAATAAAGTTGCGTCTAAAACCATACCAACTTTATTTATAAAGCACTTTAAAACAACCACAGCTGATACAAAGTGCTGTACATCAAAACACAACATTTAATCACCTTTCCTCACTAACAGTTCTCCTTCCTTCAACGTTTGCAGGTAAATTTGGTTTAAACTGAGCAGGGGACGTTTCTGAAGAGTCGACGAGTTTCATGCTTACGTAGATCATCCAGGCGGCGTATCGCTCCTTCAGGTTGAACAGGACGGCTGGCTCATGCAGGTGCGTCATCATCACCATGTCCTCAATCTTATCAAACTTTGGGGGGTTCATTGGAAACACCTGGTCCTCCCTCACCGTTAACGTCTGCAGAGGAAGGTAGACCAGGTGAGAATGTGAGACCAGGTGAGAACGGTAGACCAGGTGAGAATGTGAGACCAGGTGAGAACGTGAGACCAGGTGAGAATGTGAGACCAGGTGAGAACGTGAGACCAGGTGAGAACGTTTAAAGGCCTTTTTTAATTGAAAATATTATTTTGTATGATTTATTTATTTAAACTCATTAAACACATTATATTAAAATTTTCAGCAGTTTTTGTAAATAAAAATAAAAACAACAAAAAAACACCAAATTATTTAGGGGGACTTGAGAATGTTTTAGTGGGGCTCCAGCCCCCTTAAAAAGTCCTAGTGACGCCACTGCACCAAACAAGAAGCAGCTTAAATGCAAACTTCCAGAAAACTGTAAAACAGCCGAAACCCTGAGTTCCTTTGTTTTTGAGCCATAATTACTGGAACCAACACATCTGCCTGAACTGATGATCTGTCGGACGTAAAGACTGTTTCTGGTTTCTCCGTGGTGGTTGGTATTTTAAAGCACTTTGCTACAAACGAACGCACTGATTGGTGGGATCACCTACCCCACATGTGTCAAACTCAAGGCCCGCGGGCCACATGTGGCCCCCCAGCATTTTATAGGCCGATGATTGACTTAAAATATGTTTTGAGCACGAATCGACTACAAACAACATTTCCCATAATGCATTCCGATTGTTACCAGCCAACATTACGGCTTCTCGCCACTAGAGAGCAGCAGAGTCACCTCAAGCTGCTTATTGATTTTACCAGTGAATAAAACTGAGACTTCGACAAGCTAACATCAAAACGTCCAAGAAAAGAAACATCGATTTACAAGTAAGACTGAGAATGAAGATGTGTGAGTTGGTGTCAGGGCAGCAGGTGGCGCTAGACTTTTTTTGTTATCTGTTATCTTGACAGACAACATAAAAAAATCGGTCATGTACTATTTTTATCCGTGAAATTACAATCATATTAACATCGGCTATTTAGTCGCATTTTATGCGGTTTAGTTAATATTCACCGTGAATCCAGATCCCATCACAGATTAAGCAGATAAATGTACATGTACATTTTTCTCGTAGTGACAAAAACCACTGACTGAGGCCCCAATAACTTTTAATAAATTAAATTAAGTGACTTCACTTAAATTAGCATCACTTCACCCGCTGGGGTCTGAACGCACTTCCTCCTGGTTCCCATCTGCAGAAAAATCTGCGCTAATTTGTCAGGCAGTTGGATCTGTCTGATCCAAACAGATCAACTGAACTCTGAGTGTTTTACCCTGTGAGGTCCGATGAGCTTTTACCAGGATTATTTATTTATTTATTTATTTATTTATTTATTTTTGCGTGGTTT